CTACAATCACATCACACATCACTACAATCACATCACACTCATCACTACAATCACATCACACTCAATCAGTATAATCACATCACACATCATCAGTATAATCACATCACACTCATCAGTATAATCACATCACACTCATCAGTATAATCACATCACACTCATCACTACAATCACATCACACTCATCACTACAATTCATCACTACAATCACATCACACTCATCACTACAATCACATCACACTCATCACTACAATCACATCACACTCATCACTACAATCACATCACACTCATCACTACAATCACATCACACTCATCAGTATAATCACATCACACTCATCACTACAGTCACATCACCCTCATCACTACAATCACATCACACTCATCACTACAGTCACATCACACTCATCACTACAATCACATCACTACAATCACATCACTCATCACTACAATCACATCACACTCATCACTACAGTCACATCACCCTCATCACTACAATCACATCACACTCATCACTACAATCACATCACACTCATCACTACAATCACATCACACTCATCACTACAATCACATCACACTCATCACTACAATCACATCACACATCACTACAGTATAATCACATCACACTCATCACTACAATCACATCACACTCATCACTACAATCACATCACACTCATCACTACAATCACATCACACTCATCACTACAATCACATCACACTCATGACTACAATCACATCACACATCACTACAATCACATCACACTCATCAGTATAATCACATCACACTCATCAGTATAATCACATCACACTCATCACTACAGTCACATCACCCTCATCACTACAATCACATCACTCATCACTACAATCACATCACACTCATCAGTATAATCACATCACACTCATCACTACAGTCACATCACTTTCATCACTACAATCACATCACACTCATGACTACAATCACATCACACTCATCACTACAATCACATCACACTCATCAGTATAATCACATCACACTCATCACTACAGTCACATCACCCTCATCACTACAATCACATCACACATCACTACAATCACATCACACTCATCAGTATAATCACATCACACTCATCAGTATAATCACATCACACTCATCACTACAGTCACATCACCCTCATCACTACAATCACATCACTCATCACTACAATCACATCACACTCATCAGTATAATCACATCACACTCATCACTACAGTCACATCACTTTCATCACTACAATCACATCACACTCATGACTACAATCACATCACACTCATCAGTATAATCACATCACACTCATCACTACAGTCACATCACACATCACTACAATCACATCACACTCATCACTACAATCACATCACACTCATCACTACAATCACATCACACTCATCACTACAATCACATCACACTCATCACTACAATCACATCACACTCATCAGTATAATCACATCACACTCATCACTACAATCACATCACCCTCATCACTACAATCACATCACACTCATCACTACAATCACATCACACTCATCACTACAATCACATCAATCACACTCATCACTACAATCACATCACACTCATCACTACAATCACATCACACTCATCACTACAATCACATCACACTCATCACTACAATCACATCACACTCATCACTACAATCACATCACATCACACTCAGCCAAAATGACTTTGTTCTGTGCACTCTGCTACAGTAGTGTGTGTGTGTGTGTGTGTGTGTGTGTGTGTGT